AAAGAAAGAAAGAAAGAAAGAAAGAAAGAAAGAAAGAAAGAAAGAAAAAAGCAGCATTATTTCAGGCTGAAGAGGGGAGTGAGCATAGCAGAAAGACTATGGAAAGAAAGATAAAACCATAATTATTATTATTAAGACACAGATTACCACTGAGAACAGAAACAACAACATACACATTTCAGTAATAACTTTAAATATCAATGGTCTCAATTCTTTAATCAAAGACATAGAGGATAGATAAAGAAACCAAATCCATTTCTCTGCTGCCTATAAGAAACACATCTTAGTCTTAAAGATAGGCACCACTTTAGAATAAAAAGATAGAAAAAAATATTTTCACCAAATGGATCTAGGAAGCAAGCATGTGTCACTATCCTAATATCTAGCAAAACAGACTTTACACTAAAGCTAATTAGAGCAGATAAAGGGGCAGACTTTGTTCTAATCAAGGCAACAATTAACCAAGAAAAAACTGCTGTCTTAAACATATGTGCCCCAATCTTAGGGGAGCCCAATTTCATAAAAAATATATTACTGAAATTATAGACACAGATTAGCATCAATCTATTAATAATAAGCGATTTCAAAACCTCACTTTTCTCCAACAGACAGGTCATCTGTAACAAAAACCACCATATCATACGTCAAATGAATTTAACAGATACCTACAGAATATTCCATTCAAACACCAAGGAATACACATTCTACTCAGCACCACATGCAAGTTTTTCTAAATTAAACCACATCCTGGAACACAAAACAAATCCTTACAAATTCAAAAAGATTAAAATCACTCCTTATATCCTATCCGACAAAAATGCAATTAAATTTAAAATTGTAAATAAAAAACTCATGGAGATTGCTAAATAATGAACAGGCCAAAAAAATTTTAATTAAGAAAAATAAAAAAGAAGCTTTCTGGAACAAAATGAAAATAAACACAACACAACATAACAAAACTTCTGGGACACATTGAAAGCAGCTAGCTTTATAGCTCATTTATAGTTCTAAATGAATACATTTAAAAAATCAAAAAAAGCACAAATAAATGGATTAATAATGCAACTAAAAAAGCTGAAAAAATAATAACAAACAAAATCCAAATCCAGTCAATGGCAAAAAAAAAAAGAAAAAAGAAAACAAAAAACAAATATAAGCAGAAATCAATAAAATAGAAAAAAGAAAACAATACAAAGAATCAACAAATATAAGAGCAGGTTCTTTGAGAAGATAAACAAAACTGACATACTTTTGACCTAACAAAAAAAAAAAAAAAAAAAAAAAAAACGAAGAAGAAGAAGAAAAAGAGAAAGAAAGAGGGCTGGAGAGATGGCTCAGATGTTAAGAACACTGTCTGTTCTTCCAAAGTTCCTGAGTTCAACTCCCAGCAACCACATAGTGACTCATAACCACCTATAATGAGATTTGATGCCCTCTTCCTACCTGCAGACAGAATACTATATAAATAATAAATAAATGCATTTTTAAAAAACAGAAAGAGAGAGAAAAAAAGAAAAAGATGGACCAAAATTAACCAAATTAGAAATGAACAGGGAAACATGGACATATTCCCATTCATAATAGCCTCCAAAAAAATAAAATACCTACGGATAAACCTAACCAAGTAAGTGAAGGGCCTCTACAATGAAGACTTTAAACCTCCAAAGGAGATAAAGACACTAGACAATGGAAAGACATCCCATGCTCATGGGTTGATAAAACTAGCATCATGAAAACAACTGTTCTACCAAAAGCTATCTCAATCAAAATCCCCATTTCACTCTTTGCAGAAAAAGAAAGAAAAAAAAAAAAGCTCTCCTAAAATTCACATGGAGCCACCAAAAAAACAAACATAACAACACAACAACAACAAATCCTGAATAGCCAAAACAATCCTGGAAGGGAGGGTGGGGGACACAGCTGGAGGAATTACCATTCCAGATCTTAAGATATATTACTGAGCCACAGTAATAAAAACAATATGGTATTGGCACAAAAGCAGACAGTGGAACAAAACTGAACACCCAAACATGAGCACAAATAACTTCAGCCCCTAACAGATGACAAGGACATCAAAAACATGCACTAGAGAAAAGAAAGATCTTAAACAAATGGTTCCAGGAAAACTGAATGTCACATGCAGAAGAATGAAATTAGAGCCATCTCTACCATCTTGAATAAAAAACTAACTCCAAAATAGATCAAAGACCTAAGCCAAAAACCTGAAACACTGAAACTACTAGAAGAAAACTTGGGCAGTGCACTATACAGTGTTGGTATATGAAAGGGCTTCTTGAATAAGACTCCATTTGTCCACTAGTTAATTACCACAAGGCTCTAACATAATTCCCAGCTCATGGAACATGTTGGCTCTTCTTTGCCAGAGAGTGTCACTTCTCATACTATTCACAATGTCCCTGCAAAGTGTTAGCATTAACTCATGGAACAGATGAGAGAACGGAATATAGTGGAACTATCTTCTTCAAGGCTGCAAACACTAATAAAACACAGATATGCTGGGATACAACCCAGCTCCTTCTCACAAGTAACTGCTTTTTCTCCCAAATGTTAAAGTGAGATAGATGAGAAACTGGAAGTAGGGATTAATTTTCCTCAATTGAGTTAATTTAGCCCCTGTCCTGGTTTAGTTTCAGTCATGATAAATACCATGGCTAAAAACAACTTGGGGTAGAATGGGTTATTTCAGTTTACAGGTTACAGCCTATCACTAAGGGAATTCAGAGCAGGAACTCAAGACAGGAACCAGAAACCTGGCAGCCAGAGAGATTGCTTAGTAGTTAAAAGCACTGCCTACTCTTCCGGAAGACCAGAGTTCAATTCCCAGCACCCACATTGCATCTCACATGCAGGTTAAGCTCCAGTGGATCCAGTGCCCTCTCCTCTCTGTGGGCGCTGCACAAATACAGTGCACATACATACACACAGGTATATACACTCATACACATAAAATAATAATAATGATAAACCTAACACCTCTTTAATAAAAAGGTACAATGCCATGCAGACGAGACTGTTTTCAAATTGGCCTCTACGCCTAAGTTTCCAGCTCAAGGGATTCAGGTGTTTGAACAGCTGATGTCAATTACTGTAGCAAACTTAGGCATCTAGATCAGATGGACACTTTCTCTTGCTTGCTATCCCTACCAACTGGCCCTAGGTCTTCCAACCTTTCTGTCTCCTCAACTGCACAAGCTGTGGGCACTTTCTCCATTCCCTTGACCTCCCTTTTGGTTGCCCTGGGGTTTGGGTCCGTTACCTGCCTCGCCTTCTCTGCTCTGTGGGCTCTGGTTCTCAACAGAGGATCTTCCTGCTCCGTGGCTGCCCGCTTTGTTATCCCCTCCTGCACGCTAACCTCCTACATGCTGACGGCTGACTAAGCTCCCAGGGATCATTCATCTGTGAACATCTTTACCAGAGCCTTGCTTTGTTTGTAATTTCAGCTTTCACCTCTCTCTCTCTCTCTCTCTCTCTCTCTCTCTCTCCCAAATCTTTCATCCTGTTCACTTCAGTTCCTTCAGCCATCTCTCGATGCCTTTTCTGGACCACGTGCTTCAGAGCTGGGCCTGCAGCTCTGCTGTCACCATTTATCTTCAGTGATGGTAATGACATGCAAAGATGAACCCAGGTTCAATTAAACACAACTCATCTTAGTGACCCAAAAAGGCTTTCGGGAGGCGTTTAGGTGCTTCCAATATCTAAGAACTGATCATCAGAAAATAGGAAGGAAATCCACGGGGAGAGGATGGCCGGAGCGAAGCAGGCTAGTACACTTTGGGGTAAAGTCATGGCGAGTCCTTTACCGGGTGCCTCAAGTGTGCCGCTGGCTAGGAGAGGCGAAAGGAACCGGAGGCAGCCGCCATTCAAGCAGGAATCACATGTTGCATGTTAGTTTAAATCTATGGCTGGCTGTCCTGTCAAGTGACAGGGCTGTCGACTTGAGCGATGCTTGGTAAGTGAGTGTGAGCCTTGAAGAGGAAGAGAGTTGGGCTTGCTTTCGGCTATCCAGCCCGGGAAAGAAGAGGATGAGTTGGGGTAGAAGCCTCGCTGGGAAGCAGGAATGGTTTCAGTTTCAGCAATTGGAGTGTGGAAGGTTTTTGCAAAGGGCAGGCGGGTGATGAGCTTTGGATGCCAGTCTTGTGTTATTATTATACGTGACAGTATAATAAGAGAAGAGAAAGGACAGGCACGGCTGAGAAGCTTCTGCGAGTTACAGGCCAAGTCCTGGGACGCAGGGAAAACCCACGACACCAGCGCTGTCCTGGGCCACTGAGGTCGTGGTCCAGAGTGCTGCCCGCTTTGGCCTTACCCGGCTGAGACTGTTCATTGGTTGGTTAAGAGGACCTACAGTCCTGTAGCAGCTGATCAGAGGAGCGGCAGCCACCTCGCCCCGCAGCCAGCCTGTTGCTTGGCAACTGGTTTGCTTGGCTCCCGGAGCTGACACTGTCTTTCACTGTGAGGTAGAAACAGAACTTGGTCAGCGCTGTTTTGGAGCTCGCCCTTTCCGTTCTGTCTCCGCCTGCCAACAACACTGGCTTTTCTCAAGTGGTGCCCCAAGTTTGTCTCGGGGTGAGACAAACTTGCTGGTAGTTAGACAGCACACATAGGAAGTACCCCAGTCTTCCTTCGAGAAGTCTCCGCTTGGAGAAGTCAGAGGTGCAGGGGAAAAGCCACGATTAAACCCTAAACTTAACAATCATTTAACTGGGCAGTGAGTAACTGTTAACCAGGGGTGAGGGAATGACCCGAGACCCCAGTCAAGAGCTCTGCCCTGAGTAAAACTGAGTAGGTCCGGGACAAGTGCCCATCAGCTTGTCCCATCAGCCTCGCCATGTACTCCAGAGCTTACATCTTGCTGCAAAGAGACTGGCTGGAATTTCAACACAACCCAATGAAGGTAAGTGCAGATTTGTCCCCAGAAACTAGAAGATCATTTCTTTCTTTTCTTTTTTTGTTTTTTGATTTTTTTTTTTTTTTTTTTTTTTTTTTTTTTTTTTTTTTTTTTTTTTT